GAGGGAGGGAGGGAGGGAGAGAGAGAGAGAGAGAGAGAGAGAGAGAGAGAGAGCGGTGTTGTCAGCAGCCATCCACCTGCCTGGCTAATGAGCAGTATAGGCTTGAAGCAGACAACATCAGCTTGTGCCTATGGCAGCCTGATTAGACACTCAGTGGCGAATGGGGATGGCCTCTGGGAGGCGCCTTCTAGGAACAGAGTTTTCAGGGGTCCAGTTACTCTGAGCTCCTGTCCTTTACTATACACCCCCTCCGCACTTGCAGAGTACCTGCTGTTGCCGCAGCACCTCTTGCCCTCCCCTCCCCCACCAAAAAATAAAATAAAATAAAAAACCAGACGCTGGGACAGCTGTCAGTCCCTGCCACCCCCTTTCCTCGTATCACCTGTGCAGGGTTGCAAGTAGGGAATTTTCCCTATGAGCTCTGATTCAGTGGTTGCTGCCACAAACAAGCCTCCTTTAGTGCCGTTGCACAAATGCAATCTCCAACTTCTTGGTATGTTGAAGATACTTCTGCCCCTCCCATCTTCCCCTCCTGTAGGGGAAGTGCCTCCAACAGGCACTAAATCAATGGTTAAAGACTGACTGAAGAGTCTGCCCTATATGGTGAATGTTCTAATAAACCTTGTCTTTGGCTGAAAAAAAAAAAAAAAAAGGACTGACTGAGTGGCTTCATGGAGGCTTGCAACACTGAGCTTCATCCTTCTCTGGTGCCATCCCCAGGGAGATCTGGGAGGGACAGTCTTGAACTCACTCACTCACCAGAAAGCGTCAGGGCTTGTCAAGCTTCACAAGAGCAATGTTATAATCACCCTGCCCATCAGAATAGTTGGAAGAGATCAGGAGTAGTTTAGGGGAAAGAATGTTGAATTTGGAATCACAGAACCTGAATTCAAATCTCAACTTTCATACTTGTTACTTTCAGAATCTCAAGCAATCATTTAACCTCTGCCTCAGTCTTCTAATCTGCAAAATGAGTGCATTGGACTAGAGCTCTAAGATACCTTCTAGCTCCAGACCTGAGGTTCCCAGACTTATGTGGCCTACCACCCCCTTTAAAAAAATACTCAGTGTCCCCCTGGAAATCTACTTTCTTTAACCCTTTAACAGTTTTTTTTTTAATTTGCATCACTTCAAAAAAAATATAAAATATATTTTTTGAAATGACACATCTTAAATTTAACAATTTCTTATAAATTTGTGGGTTTTTCCTACACTGAAATTTTGATGATGCAGTGTTTCATCATGTAACCATGTAGTATCATACATAACAAGTCATTACATGCACATATTCCTGCCGATGCATCCCGGACTTCCCGACAATGAGCGATAAGCTTGCTTGCCAATACTTTCTTGTTAAGAACTATTGGCAGACTTGACCGTTGATCAGTTATAACTTGCATTTTATATGTTTATTTGGAAAATAATGTAATCACTATGACTTTAACTCTGTTACACAACAGATGAAACACGTAGAAATTGTTTTTCAAAATTTTCATCTCTTCTCTTCTCTCCTTATGCTTCTACCGCTCCCTGATTTTTATGCAATGCTCCCCAATTGCACCGGAGGCTACTACTGCCCCCCTGAATTGTTCCAGCACCCCCCCAGGAGGTGGTATCACCCACTTTGGGAATCTGTGCTTCTAGACCTACAATCCTATGAGTCATGTAATTTCATTCTCATTCTATAAATTAGATGAGGCTCCTGAGAGAGCAGAAGCAGCATCTTCTAACTTTGCAGAAGCCATCCAACCTAATTCCTGACTGTGAGCATGACTTTATCTGAGATGGCCCAGATGCATGGGGGTGAGAGGGAGGGAAGGAAGATTCTTCATTTGGGACTGTGCCCTAGCCCTTACCAACCATCCCACTGCAGTTTGGAAGCCCTCTGTTTCCTCCCCTGCCCAGTCCAACGCACTCTGCCCCCACCCCACCCCAGATCATCACTTACACAAAGAAGCAATGGGCAGCTGTGAGCACCCACTGGGCATCGATGAGGGTGCCCCCACAGATGTGGGTTGTGCCGAACTGGAGACTAACTTGCCAGGGCCACTTGCTCTCGGGGGCCAGGGCCCCACCCACAATCCGCCCAGTCATGACCCTCATACCACAGCCTGTGAGAGAAAGAACAATGGGAGAGACCTAGAAACTCTGATTCTTCCCCATTACCCTCATTCCTCAACCTGGGAGCCATACTGCTCCCCCTTGAGCCCAGGAAGGGCTGAAAAATCCTCACCCCTGCAAAACACACCACCCACACTTGCTGCATCATGTCCCAAACATGACCTAGCTTAATCATTTCCTAATCCCACATTGCAAAACTTCAGGGACCTGCCCTGGGTACCAGTCACTTTGAGGGTTATCTAATATTTGGAGATTCAAATGAGATGACATATGTAAAGCATTTTGCAAACCTCAAAGTGCTATATAAATGATTGTTGCTATTTTTATTATTCTCTCTGCCCTCAGAAGGCTATGGCACTTCCTCCCCTTTTCAATCTAATTTTAATATCACTCTTGAGCAAGATATAATTAGAGGAATAAATCTGTTTTTAAAAATAATCATGTGATATACTTCAAAGCCCAGATTAAATAAACTTTGAATTTTATTTTTTATTATCCACTCCATAGCTCCTTTCCTTTAGGATAAATAACTGAGGGATAAGTAGGACTCCTTATCCTTAGCATGTCCAAACAATCCATTTCATCAGTGAGTTTCTTTGACGGTAGGTAATATGCAGCGGTGCAGTGGATAGAGTGCCAGGCCTGGAGTCAGGATGACTCATCTTCATGAGTTCAAATCTGGCCTCAGACACTTACTAGCTGTATGACCCTGGGCAAGTCACTCAACCCTACTTGCCTCAGTTTCCTCATCTGCAAAATAAGCTGGAGAAGGAAATGGCAAACCACTCCAGTATCTTTGCCAAGAAAACCCCAAATGGGGTCATGAAGAGTCAGGTATGACTTAAAATGACTGGATAACAACAACAACAACAACATATTAGGGTGTGCTGGTAAATGTTTAACAAGGAAAAAATATTTTTAAAGTAATCAACATGAACACTTTCTGAAGTCTTGACAATCAACAGAATAATAACTCAAGCCCTGATTTGTAGCCATTGCCTATTGTTAGAGCTGGCTCAAGCACATGCCTGCTAACAGGGGAGCAGGGGAACCTCCAATCACAGACTGGGCAGACTTCCTCCACAGGTCAGGGGCCCAGAAGCCAAGGAAGTTTACACTTTTATACTGGGAGTAGAGGGAGCAAACTGTAGGCTAAGTGAGCCTCTGGGTGCTCTGCCCAGTGCCCTGGGTGCCTACGGCCTGACCCTGCACTAAGGGACTGGACAACATCTAGATCCAGGCTAGGATGCTTACTCCTGTTCCTTTGAACAGTATTGTCAGACTCAAATAGAAAAGGGGCCACTAATCTGTGCACAAGGATCCCTGAAGGCCACATACTGCCTTAGTATTAAAATGTCACATTATCTGTATTTTATTGCATTTTTATTTATTTTATTATATATTTCCCAATTACATTTTTATCTGGGCTGGGCTGCATTTGAGAGAAAGCTACATTTTTGACACTTCTGCCTTATGATACAATAGATTCAAATTTCCCTTCTGGGCCCAAGTATATTAAGCTTGGCACTGACTACAGTCAGTGGAATGTGAAGCCATCATATCATAGTGTGACATTGAGAGATTCTAGCCCTGAATCAAAAACCTGTTGATCTCCTCTACCTTGGCATGCATGCAATCTGTAATGTTATTAGTAAAAATAACAATGGCTAACATTTAGAAAGTGCTTTAATGTTTTCAGACTGCTTTATAAATGTGATTTCATTTGATCAGCACAACAACCCTATTATTATTCCCACTAGATGCTTTTATTATCCCCACTTTACAGATGAGGAAACGAAGGCAAACTGAGGTAAAGTGACTTGTCCAAGGTCACACAGGAAATGGGCATCAGAAGTAGGATTTAAACTCAGGGCATCTGACTTTTCAGTGCTTTTTCTCCTACATCAGAGCAATGTTATAGTGGAGGTAAATTGTTTAAATGATAATTGTAATAATGACTCAAGTTTCTATAGCACCTCACAGCTTACAAAACACTTTCCTCACAATAAGCCTATGAAGTAGGTAGTGCACATGTTATTATTCCCATTTCATAGATGAGAAAACTAAAGCTCAGAGAGACAGCATAGAATAAAGGATAGGGCACCGGTTTTGGAGTCAGGAAGAAGAGAGTTTAAATTCTGCCTCAGACACTTATTGGCTGTGTGACCCTGAACAAGTCATTTAACCTCTGTTTGCCTCAGTTTCCTCATCTTGTAAAACGAAGGGACTGGACTTAATGGCTTCTAAGGTTCTTTCTGATTCTAATTCTATGACCCTATAGATGGCTCACGCATAGTTACATAACTCCTACATATCAGAACTGCAGCTTGAACGCATGTCTTCTGATTCTTTTTGCTACTGCCCTGATATTCCATAATAAAGCCCTGTCTCTCACGTTGCCTCTGCCTCAGAGCCAGTGAAGCCTGGCTACCCACTCCCCTTGAGGTCCTTGCTGCTGCTTTTAGCCCAAGCCCGGCTCCCAGCGGGCGCCAGGTCTACCCTGAGCCAACGAGAAGGGAATCTTCTTACGGGTGCACTGAAGAGAGACGAACTGATGAGAAGGGCAGTCAGACCTAGAGAAGGAGATACACAAAGAGGTGGGAAGCGAGAAGGACAAACCGACCTCCCCCAGGAGCCTTTCTTGATTCACCACCAGTCAATCATGTGGATTGCTACTGATGCAGCCATCCTGTCAGAATTCACTTCACATAAAAATCTGCTGAAGCTGTACTTGGCAGACAAAGCTGACCCACTGCCAGTAAAGCTGGCTGTTAATAGCTGTTCTTAGTCATCTACCCTTTCTCACCCAGTTGCTTTTGTGGTTGAAGACCTGTGTTTGCCAGGATAGATGGATTCCACAGTTTTTGTGTGAATCTGATTTGTGGAATCTGTGAGGATGGTGTAGTTGAAGGGGTACTGAGGTAGGACTCAGAAAACCTGGATTAGAATCTGCCACCTCCTGGCTGTGTGACTTTAGGCAAATTGCTCTGCCTTTCTGTACCTCAGTTTCCCTATCTCTAAAATGAGGGGATTGGACTAGTTGGTATCTCAGTTCCCTTTGAGTTCTGAATCCTACCACTTCATGAATCATGCTTATCTTCTAATGGCTGAGTGCCCTATTCACAGACTGCTGTTAGTATTCCTCAGTCTAGCTCCACATAGGAGCTCAGGAAATGCTGTCCATTGACTAATAGCAAGGTCCTGGTGGTTTCTGGACCAAGGTGTATCAGACAAACCCACAGGTAGAAACTGTATCCAAGGCATAGTTGGGAACTCACCACACAAGCCCTGCCAGTTCTTAGAATTCCCTCCATTCTTCTGTCCCACTGGTATATTCACCCTCCCCATTCTTCTATTCAAAATCCACTTCCTCTTAGCAGATTTTATAGTGTAAACAATGTGATGTTCACCTTGGCATCAGCCTTATTAAATGTTATATTGTGCTCGTGAAGTCAGATCAGCCACTCTGTCCTAAATGCCAGCTTCCCAGAAGCCCAGAAGGTAGGAACTATGGCCATTTGCCATGTCCAACCTAAGTAGATGTTGCATATGTGCTTGTAGACTGTAAAGGAAGGGGAGGACTGAATTTCCTGTGACCTCCGTAGATGTCACAGAGTCATAGACTGACAGACTCTCAGAGTCAGAAGGGACCTCTCAGGTCACAGAACTGTGGGTTCCTACAGTTAGAGCTAGAAGGAGGCTTAGAGGCCATTTATAGGCAAAGAACTTGCTCCCCAGAACAGTTCCGAGACTATTCCCAACTATCCTTGAACAGTAATCCCTTTGATGACCTTCTCAATGGATCATTATCATCAGATCATCCCCTTTTTTTTTAAATAGCTCTAATTGTTAGGAAGTTTTTCCTACCATCAAGTTTAAATTTGCTCCTTTGCAATTGCTCTTCCTCCTAGACCTGCCCTCTAGGGATAAAAATAACCAATACAATCCCTTTTCTAGATAAAACCTTTCCTATACTAGAAGATAATGATCATGTTTCTTCTCCATCCCCCTACTCCCCAACTAGCTGGGGACCCAACTGGAACTGGCCAGTGGAGCAACACAGCTTCCTTCTTTCCTTCTTTCTTTCTTCCTTCCTTTCTTCCTTTCCTTCTCTCTCCTCTCTCTCTCTCTCTCTCCGTCTCTCTCTCTGTCTCTCTGTCTCTGTTCTCTCTCTCTCGGTCACTATGTTACACTGTTGACTTATATGTCCATGGCTATAACCCAGGAGTCTCAAGTTCCACACCTAATCCAAGTTGGATTAACATAGACACTGGCATAGACATAGACACTAACATAGACACTGGTCCTCGACCTCTGGCCCACCTGATAGGTGAGAAAGAATGGAGTATGGAGGGACAGGTGACCTCTACACAAATTGGTAGTGCTCCTCCTTGACCCTTACCTGTTGATGCTTTCCTGGATGGTGTTGTTGTACTCAGACACAGAGTAACTACTGGTGAACCCTTGGTGAACAACTTCACCTGTGTAGTGAGCACTGCTAAGACAAAGGAGAAAAGAATGAGGCCCCTTGAGCCACTTGTCCCTCCCTCAGGACTCTGAATTGTGACACAGGCCTGAAGTCAAATGCTAAGCATTCCAAATCATAACACCTTAACATGAATGGAACCCTTCCTTATCCCCTGCCCAAAGCATTTTTGTCTGTTGTCTTATTTCATCCTTACAACATCACTGAAAGGTAGATAAAGCAGAAATTATTCTTCCTATTTCACAGATTAGAAACTGAGACAGAGAGAAGATAAGGAACCACTCCCTCTACTCCCTACCGAGAAAAGTTTAAGTTTCAATACTGGCTTCTGGGAAAATGCCTTTCTGACTCCTGGAGGAGGTCTGCCCAGCCTTCGACGTGAGGAACATCACCCACATTCTCTACCATCAAAGAAACTCACTCATTAAATGAATTGCTTGAACGTGCTTTGTCTGGATAAGGAGTCTTGGACCCACAAAGGTGAGGATCAGAGGACTGGTCAAAAGTTCCAGGCCTGGTCTTTTAAGGTAGCTTATCTCCAAGGAATGCAGAGTCCTCCTAATTAAGGCTTTCTGTGAGAAATGCCTTTGGAACTGCTAACTTTTTTGTATCATATATTTCTTTGGCAATCTGGTGAAACCTATGGACTGTCTTTTTCAGAATAATGTTTTAAACTTTTTAAAAATATAGTTACCAATTTTTTTAAAAAGTTCTGATGAGGACCTCAGATTAAGAACCCCTGACTTACATGAATGTTCTGCCACTTGGTTGTGCCTGGTTTCAAGAAGACCTGAGTTCAAATCTAGACTCACACATTTGCTAGGTGCATAACACTGGACAAATCACCTAACCTGTTTGTCTTAGTTTCCTTAACTGCAAAATGAAGATAATAATAATACTTACCTCAAAGGGGTGTTATGAGGATCAAATGAAATAATTTGTGAAAGCATTCAGCACTGGCCCTATATAAACGCTCAGTCCCTTCTCTTTTCTCATCTTCCAAGATCCCTTTCAAGACATAGGCACCTGTGCCCATAAACACATTCAGACACATTCAAGCATTTACATGCTTGACCAGTCCCGTGCAGAGTCCTACACTGGTGATACCAAAAACTCAAAAACACAAAGGGCAGAAGGAGAGCAGATATTTGGGTTACAAATCATGTCATACCTATGAATCCCAGGCATTGTCTATACGTACTTCAACCTAGTAAAGCAATTACTTTGCTCTTCCTTATAGAGGTTCCAGCACCCTTGGTTGTCTCTCCCCACATCTCATTTCCCTTCTAAGACAACAAGATTATAGGATTTGGATCTGGAATAAGCCTTTCACTTAATCCAACCCTATAATTTTGCAGGTAAGGAAACTGAGGCCCAGAGATGTGAAATAATTTGTCCAAGACCTTATTTAAGGTCTTGCATGAGACTCATTTAATCACTGAATATCAGATGTGAAAGGGATATGAGAATTCATCTGGTCTACCTCACTGGCCAATGTAGGAATCTTCTCTATGACATCTCCAACAAGTGGTGATTGAGGCTTGACTCCAATCACCTCTAATGACAAGGTGTTCACCATCTTTCAAGGTGGCCAGTTAGATTCTCAGACAGTTCCATGGTTAGGAAGTTCTTCCTTAGGCCAGGAAGAAGGTCAGATAAGCAGCATGGCTTTGAAAGTTATAAGTTGACCTTATTACATGCTTTAAAAAAAAAAAAGCAAGTTACAGGTATTAGAGACCTGCAAATTCACGTACAGCCCTCTTCCTCTTCTACCACAAATACTCGTTCTGTTTGGTGTTTGTTAAGATCAGAATAAAATTTAAAATTAATTCTTAAAAATGTTCTTCCATAGACTTATATGAACTGATGCAGAGTGAAGTGAGCGAACCAGGAGAACATTGTACACAGTAACAGCAACATTGTAACAATAATCAACTGTGAAAGGCTTAGATGCTGTGATCAAGACAATGATCCAATTCCAAAAGACCCTTAATGAAAAATGCGATCCATTTCCAGAGAGAGAACTGATTAACTCTGAGTATAGATTGAAGCATACTTATTTTACTCTACTTTTCTTGTGTGGTTTTTTTGTATGTGTATGTGTTTTCTTTTTCAATTTGGCTAATATGTTTTGCATGACTTTACATATATAATCAACATTATGTTACTTGCCTTCTCAAGGGGTGGGGAAGGGATGGAGAGGAGGGAGAGAATTTGAAACTTGAAATTTTAAAAAATGAATGTTAAAAAATTTTACTTGTAATTGGGAAATATTTAACAAAATAAATAAAAATATATTTGCAGTAAAAAAAGAAGTTCTTTTTCATATGAAACTGAAATCTGCCTTTCTGTAGCTTCTGTCCATTTGCCCGAGGGCCCTCTTGGGACCCAGGAAATCATTTCAGGATGGGTCCTTTCATCCGTGTGCTAGAACTGGTTCAAAAAAGTTTTGTAAAACTGATTGTTTTCAGTGTGAAAATTTAATACCTCAGAAATGAGCAAAAACTACAAGTCAAGGATTGGTTTATTGTTTTGTTGATTTCCAGACTTCAGAAAGTAATAAAGAAAATGTTAATACTGTTGATGAAACTTTAAAATGTCATGCATTGTTTTTCCCCCTAGAGAATTAATTGTTAAGTATTTACCAGCACACCCTTGAGTCCTTTGGATCCCAGCCATCCTATTAAATAGCACAGCAGCCTCTTCAGAGAATGCTGTAGGCCAAGACTCTGGCTTTCAGAAGTCTTCTCAGGGGGGCAGGGAGGTGGCGGTGCAGTGGATAGAGCACCAACCGAGTCAAGAGGACCTGAGTTCAAATCCAGCCTCAGACACGTAACACTTACTAGGTGTGTGACCCTGGGCAAGTCACTTAACCCCGATTGCCTCACCCAAAAAAAAAACAACAACCAAAAAAAAAAACAAAAACAGAAGTCTTCTCAAGCTAGTATTAACTCTATTAGGGTTAGAAAGCTTTGGAGGTTGAAGGGGAGGTGTTGGAGGGAAGGTACTGGGATGGAAAGGCAAGAGGGCACAAGCAAAGGTGCAGGACGGAAGAAAGGACATAGTACCTCTGAAAACCGAGTTGTTGGCAGATCTTTTCAGAGTAGGAGTTGTTCCAGCCATCACTGCAGACAGGCAACCACTGGCGATGGACTCCAGAATAAAGTCTAAGCAGAGACTTGTCCCAGTCAAACCTCACTGGAAAGAAAGGAGAAAGACCCTAAGGCTTGGGATCTATGGGCTTACAAGCCATCATCACAGAACAGAGACTGGAAGGAAGGAAAAGCCAGACACACTGAGGGCCTGAACTGTTGTTTGGAGAGGTAATAAGGTTCCAGGACAAAATCTTTATAACAGGAGCCATGCTAGGAAGCTCTATATTAGCTGAGGTCCAGGCATCCTGAGACAGTATATGAAAGTGAGAATATCCCTCAGTTGCTATGTTGGTCAGTTTTCCTGAAATGCTTTTTTTTCTTTCTCCTTTTTTAATTTTTGTGACAGGGGATGACTTTCTGGGGAAAGGAGATTGAGTCAGTTAGTCAACAAGCATTTATTAAACTTCTACTATGTGCCAGGAACTGTGCTAAGTGCTGGGGATACAAAGAAAGGCAAAAAACAAGCACAAAACAAAACAAAAAAAAAATCAAGCCCAGTCCCTCCTCCTAACAGGTTCACAATCTAATAGGGGAAACACCATGAAAACAACTACATATATACCATCTGTAAAATGGGCTGGAGAAGGAAATGACAAACCACTCCAGTATCTTTGCCAAATGGGTCACAGAGACTTGCAACATGACTAAAACAAGTTAACAGTGACAATAACAACAACAAGGAAAAGTGGGTGGGGTTAGTCTCAGGAGGAAGATTAAGGAGGACTGGGAAAGGATAGAGGAGAGATATATTAGGAAATGAAGGTGATGTAACAAAATCAACAAAATTATTATTATAAAAAAGTTTTTTTGTTGTTGTTGTTCTTTAAAAAAGAAAGAGATTTGCTGGTTCTTAGTTTCCTTAACTGAGAAATGAGGGGGTTGGACTAGATGGTCGCTAATGTCCTTTCCAGCTCTAAATTGATGTCCTTCGCTCCTAATCTCCTAGGCCACAGGATGTTGGCCAGACTATGTACCTGGGAGAGCCACAGCCACTCACTACAAGTGGGATGGAAAAACCGTTAAGGAATCCTGCTCTGGGAAGAGGTGTGAGGTCCACAGAAGGGAGAGCAGGGACCTCCACCTGGGCCAAGTTCATAAACATCAAAGGACATAGCATCCTAAATTTGGAACTGGAAGGTACTTTAGAGACCAATGAATTCAACCCTCCACAGAGAGAAAACTGAGGTACACTTTGTCAATCTGTCTCTCCCCCGCATATACACATAGGCACACGTGTGGGTAGAATATAAACACATGTGCATGCATAGATATTCACAGATGTGATTGTCCAGCCCCCTGAAGGAGGATGGGGTGGGCATAGGTCCAAGTTCATTGTTTGTCTCACATTCATCCTTGCACTTGCAGACTCCCATGTGTACCAGGCTCAGGCGGGATCATTCACACTTACAGTCAGAGAGCTGCCCACCCACCCTGACTCCACTTACCACAGCCCAGCTCATCACTTTTAAACTTGCAGTCCACAACTCCGTCACAGGGCACGGCGTTCCTGTGGCAGCTCTCCACGGGCTCCTTGTACTTGATCTCTGTGTGGCCCTTCCAGAAATAAACTGGAAAAGGAACAGATGTGTCTTTCACTGTCAGGACTGAGGACCCACGAGGCTCAGCAGTCAAAGAACCAGTCAAAGAACCAGAGACATGGAGCTGGGTTCCCTCTGGGACTCTGGGGTTCTCCTTCACCATTGTCAAAGAATGGATAGTCTGGAATGCTCCCCAAAGGGCTGTGGCATGGAAAGCAACCTCAAGGAAACCAAGGCAAGTCATTTCCCTCACTCTGGAACTCAGTTTGAAATGAAAGACTTGAACTGGTAGATTTCTAATGTCCCTTTAAACTACAAAGGCTCAAAGAGGCAGGGTGGCAAAGTGGAGTGAGAGCAATAAACTTAGACCTGGAAAGATCTAAGTTCAGATTCTGCCTCTGACATACTAATTGTATGGGCAACATACTTAAACCCTCTGAACCTAGGTTTCCTCATCTGTAAAATCAAGATGTTGATATCTATACTACACACCTCATAGAGTGGTTGTGAGGTCTCAATAAAGTAGTGTATTTATGATAATAGATAAGGTAAAAGTGAACTGAAAACTCTAAATGTTAATTTTTGTTATAAGTGACTATAAGTCCAGACTCATTGGAGGAGAAGCCCTCTATGCTGTAGATGCCATATGTCCCAGACACATCTTTTAGTTCATCAGGATCCATCAGTTGGAAAATCCTCTTGGGATACTTCTGACACACTAACACATACTAACTCTGTCCCCCTACCTGTCTCCCACCATCCCCCAGAACCTCAAAAGTTACAGGCTTCTTTTCTTCTATCCATTCAATGAAGGGGTCCCTCAAAATTTTATCCTGAGCCATTTATATTCATTCCCTCTTTAATTGTATTGCCTTATCTCTAAAGTCTCTTTTAATTCTAATGATTGATGACTACAAGTGGTAGACAATGTGGCATAGACAATAGAAAGCCGGCCTAGAAGTCGGGAGAACCTACTTTCAAGTGTCAACCCTAAAAGGTACCATTCTATATGACTCCAGATAAGCCATTTAATCTTTCAGTGTTGTAGGAAACTCTCTTAGACTCTATGTTCCAAAGAAGCACTGACTTGCATTGGTGAAGAGAATTTCCTTACCTGTGACTTCATCAACAAAAGCACAGATACACTTATCCATTAATCTTTTGGTGAAGGAAAGCTCACCTATGACCACAATTGTAATTATCACCTCTTTGTGATGCATGGGATCATTTTAATGACTTAGAAATCAAAAGCAGTGAGACAAATGCCACAAGCCACATACCACAATCCATCCCATTACTTCTTTGGTCATACCTTGTCTATAACTATATCCAGCCCTGAAGTTTCATCCAAGTTCTAGGCCCTGTTACATCAACTGACTCCAGGGCATTTCCGCATCCTCATCATCACTCACATTTCTGTAGCGCTTTTAAGGTTTACACCTTCCTCACCACAGCCCTGTCACGTAGGGATAGCAAATATTATTATCTCAGTTCTACGAATGAGGAAACTGAGATTCTGGAAAGTTGAATGACCGAAACTCATAGGTATGGAGCTTCGATTCTAACTCAGTCTTTCCTGACTACAAGTTTACATCTTTCTACTACACAATGCTATCCAGTACCTCCTCCTACCCAATGTCCATAATTGCAGTCATAACCCCACCCTCCAAACCAATTCGCTCTCCTAAATTCCCTATTGCTGATATAGGTGCTGCCATTCTCCCAGTACTACATCTGAAAGCTTGGCATAAACTTTGACTTTTCCTTTTTTTCATACCTTCTAGCAAATCTGTTGCCAAGACCTGTCAATTCATCCTTTGCAAATCTCTTGAATTAGTCCTTTCCTCTCTGTTACCAATACCATCCTTCTAATCTAGACCTTCACCTCTTGGATAACTGTTAGAATCTGTTGATCAGTCTTCCTGACTCTAGGCCCTCTATTCTCTACCTGCCCCGCACCCAAACCAAACCATGCTGAATACCATCTAAATGCCATTCTTTAAATGTCATTCCCTTTCTTAAGAACCTACAACCTCCTCACAGCATATCAGATAGATCCCAGACTAGACATACTGAGACTCAACTACGTATCCGTGATCTGGCCCCATTTTACCTACACTAGACCTCTCTCTCTTACCGTTCCACATTTCGTTCCCTTTGTTCCATCAGGAAGCGCTGACTCCTCACTGACCACTGAACTTATTCCTATGCTTATTTTTACTTCCTTCACCATCGATGGAATTGTACATTCCACCCAGAAGGCCCCACTTGGAATACCCTTTCTCTTTCTTGTCACCTATTCAAAGTATTGTCTTTCTAGGTCTACCTCAAGTCTTCCTTCTTCCTTGATGTTTTCTCCTATAAATTCCTTACCCAAAAGTCTGGTCTCAGATATTTCCTAACTGTGTGACCCTGGATAGCTATCTTAACCCCTTTGAGCCTCAGTTTCCTCATTTGTAAGATAATAATAATAACAATAGGATAATGATAGAATTTATGTAGCACTTTAATGTTTGTAAAACACTTTACATATATTACTTCCTTTGATCCCCACAATCCTGTGAGGAAGGTGCTATTGTTAGCCCCATTTTATAGATGAGGAAATTGAGAGAGTTAGAGGGCAAGTGACATGCATAGGGTTACACAGCTAATAAGTGTCTGAGGCAGTATTTGAACTCAATTCTTCCTGACTGCAAGTCCAGTATTGCACTGTTCCACCTTGCTGCCTTCTGATGAGGATGAGAGACTAATAGTACCTATCTCACAGGTTGTTGTGAGGATCAAACAAGATAATGTATGTAAGTTGCTCTGCAAACCATTAAGCACTGCACACATGCTAGCTATTATTATTATTATTATTGTTCTTAGGGTAAGAGTTGAGTGGGTGGTTCCCTGGTCACTGCCTGTGAAGGAATCACAGTATCTCTGAGTTGGAAGAAATCTCAAGCCATCTAGGCCAACCTATCGTGATCCAGAATCCCCTTTACACCACTCCAGACATGTGGACATCTAGCCTTTGTCTGAAGGCCTCTAATGAAGGGGAACCCACTACCCTCCAAGATAATTCATTCCACTTTGGGATAGCTCTAATGAGGACATGCTTGACCTTGCCTGCCCAGCCCACCCATCAGCAGCAGGACTCACACAACAGGATGAGTGCGACGACCAGGGCAATGAGCAGCAGGACACAGCCAAGGAAGGTAAGTCTTTTCTGGCTCCCCTGCCAGCTGATCTTGGGCATGGACACACCTAGGAGTGGGGTGGCAGCAGAGGAAGGTAAGGTTCTCGGGAGGGATACAGGCACCATGGAAGAGGGAGAAGGAAACAAGGCTGGCCCACGTGGGCCCTGTTAGGGCTTTGACTCTTCAGCAGAAAAATCCCTCAATTAATTGAATGATTGACTGGAGCTTTCCCAAATGACAACCATTTAATACAAAGTCCCTGGATGCTCATTCTTAGTGTTGGGAGACCAACTGAGTCTGGGACCGGTAGGCAACGTGTCTAGGGTATTAGGGCACAGTTGGGATGGGCTAGTGGAGCAAGCATGAATAAGACTTGAATACTGTCAGAACCAATCCTAAGTAATCCATTCAGAATGACTAATTTTCCTGTAGATCAGTAGTTCTTAACCTTATTGGTGTAATGAACTCCTTCGGCCAACAGTTGAAACCTATGGATCCTTTTAATGTATTTAAACAGTTGAGGGAAATGCCAAATTTCATTTAGTGGTTATCAGAAATAAAGATGTAATTTCTTTCTCATCCAAACTCACAGACCCTCTGAAATCTATCCACAGACTCCTCTCTCCACCCCCTACAAAGAATCCCTTGCTGTAGAGGAGTTACCTAACCCCATGGACTGGGCAAGCCATGTTTCTCTCTTATGTCAATCTCCTCCAAGAGAGGAAAGCTTTTTATCTTAGTCTTTTTTCACAGGTGGATCTTGCTCACCATCACTTCAACCCACAGCTAGCAGTATATGATACCAGGTGGACCCCTAGCTAGTTGAATGAGATGACCCAATGGAAAGAGCTATGGTCTTTAATTCATTTCCTGGTTGTAATGGATTACCCCATGCCCAAGAAATCAGAATGTCAGACAGAACAATAGCAGCTAAAGTTCTTATCTGTCTCTGGGATCCTGCATTCCCCACCCCCTGCACTGCCATAGTGACAATGGTCTCCTATTTAATTACTTCTTCAATATCTCAATAAACACTCAATGATCAATTGAGAGACCTTCATTGCCAGCTCTTCTCATTCTCCTAACACATACAAACACACCCAAATTCAAGAAACAGAATCAATAGCAGGATATCCCCCCTCTTATGTGGGTTCAATATGTCTACTGTTTCCCTACGGCCCTCAGTCCAAATTTTGTTCCCCTCAACCCAATATCCCGTCTTACTTCTGCTTTCTGGGGCTGCCCGTACAGCTGAAGATGACCTTGTGGGGGTCGATCTGACAGCAGATCTCACTGGGGATGATCTAACCACTCTGACTGGCGATGCTGTGGCAGGGGATAACCTCGCTGGGGATGATGCGATGGATGGTGACCTGGTGGGTGATGACCTTAGGGGGGATGATGCGATGGATGGTGGATGGTGGATGGTCGACCTCGTGGATGATGACCGGGAAGGCAAGGCATTCTGAAAGGAGAGGAGATGGGTAGGGCATTTTGTGCAATTCCCCTGAGCTTTCAAATGTGTATAACTCCCAAATATTCCCAAACCAGGAGACAGAAGCTACATAAAGAGAGTCTGTAGTTTCTACCAAGTTTCTTCATAAACAAGAGTCTGAGATAGGCATGTCTTCCAGCAAAAGCTGGAATTGCCTCAGAATCACCATAGCTCCCCCCCATACTATCATCTTTAGGAATCTGCTAAGGGTAATATGGGCTCCCGAGGGCAATGGGGCATTTCCCTCAGGTCTGTGGAGTAGTCTGCCTTTTGGGGCCTTTTCTGTGCAGAGGAATTAAGGCACCCTAGACCAGGCTACCAGATACTAGACATAGCCTAGTGTCTTGGCATTAGGGAAATAGTCCCTGTCCACTGAGCAGAGGTTATCCCATTATAATTTAAAGAAAGCCTGCAGGCCATGATAGATAGATAGATAAATAGATAGATAGACAAACAGACAGATGTTGTTGTTCATTCTTTGTTTTTGAAGATGACTAATGACATCATTCATGGGTAAAGTCTTGACTTGCATGTGAATTGGATTTAAGTGAGGCAGAGTTGTGCAAAGTCATTAGCCTCACTCTCCCTTTCAGCGTCATTGAAGTCCAGTGGCAAGACAAAAGTCAAGACAACTGGCAATGGCCCAAGATATAGTGATGACCTCGGCATCTTCGATGTCTGACCAAGCTCTAAGTGCTCCACAGGGCCTGCTTCAGCCACCTTCATGGCCATTGGAACAAATTGTTCTTATTGACCCATTCCACAAGGGAAGTCTTCACATGCTTGGAGTAAACATCCCCCTAACTCACCAATGGGTTTGAGGCCTATTAGTGACCCTAAACCTGGTTTAGCCTGTCTGCCAAGACGGTTTACCAAGGTGTGGCTACTGTACATGCTACAGCTTCTTGGAGCCACATGTGAAAGTTGGGTGAATTGGGTGGACACCGAAGGTGGATGAGCAGTCCTGGAAAGGGCTCAGCAAGCCCTCGCACCTGAGATGCTAGTTCTCTCTGAACATCCCATACACCTCAGATAGATTACACACATACATACATTACACACATACATCCATCTATGCATAGCTTCCACTTCCCAGGATTGTTGTGAGGATCAAACAAGATGATATTTGTAAAATGCTTAGCACAGTGCCTGAAACAGAGTAAGTACTTAATAAATGCTTGTTTCCTTCCTCCCTCCCTTTCTCTGATCCTTCCTCCCTTTGTCCTTCCTTCTCTCCTCCCTCCCTTCCCTCAACTCTTCCTTCCCCCCTCTTCTTCCTTCTCTTTTTTCCTCCATTCCTCCCTCCCTTCTTCCCTCCATCCCTCTCTCCCTTCCTCCCTTCCTTCCTTCCTCCTTCCCTCCTTTCCTTTCTTCTCTCTCTCTCCCTCCCTTCCTCCTTTTCTTCCTTTCTTCTATTTAGTAAGTAATTTCCTCACAATCCTAAGCACTGAGGACACAAACATAAGCAAATGAGGCAATCTCTGGCCTAAAGCTCACTTTCTAAAGCGGGAAGATGATGCAAAAAGAAAGAGGTGGTAAGGGGAGGTGAGGCAGGTTGTGGGAGGAGAGGAGCAGGACTGTGGCTATTAAAGAGCTGGAGGATACAGGGAGGGAGTAAAACAAGAAGTGAAATGAGCATGACTGGGGCCCCTCCTGAAGTGATGGCCAGGTCAGGGCTGGGGACTCACCAATCCTGAGAGCAGCTTCAGGACATAGACAGTGGGCTATGTGCCTATCACAGCTACCAGCAGGCACCAGCACTAAGACCAGCTCTGCCCTGAGGTAAATAGGAGACCCAGGGCCTGGGTGAGGGTGGGGCTTCTAAATCTGAGGTACCATAAGTGAAAAAACCGACTGGACCTTGGGTCCTGCAATTGCCCTCAGCTAGTGTTTTAGAAGATACTTGTCCCCCTCTTAACCCACTGCTGAACACTTGGCATATAGAGTATCCAATTTCCCCATCTAAGTTCTGGCTGCCACCCTGGAGCAATGCCAGAGCCGGTGGTGCTGATACATTCCGAGCTGCCTGGTAGTTTTCCAGCCTCCAGGCGTGCTGCTCTCTGGTGATTCTCTCTGTCTGTGCCTGGCACCTGCTGCAGCTGGAGAGTGTCTCCTCTTCCTCCCTGTAGGGAGAGGAACAAGAGACCCAGCAGGCCAGTCTGTGTGTCCCTGCGTCCCTTGTACGATTTCTGATCCAAACTGCTTGGGCTGACAGACCAGTGAGGCAGCACTGGGAGGAGCAGGCTTACAGGAGCCCAAAATTTAGAGCTGGAAGGGACCCCAGAAAGTCATCTAGCCCAACTCCACATTTTACAGCATAAGAGGATTTGAAGCCCAGGGAGGTTACAAGAGAGGCGGCCAAGGTCACACAGGTAGGGAGTAGCAGGGCCAGGATGCAAATCTGGGAGTGCTGACTCCAAGTCATGGCATCCTTCCACTGTACCAAGCCGGTGGTTTGGGGAGTATGAAGAAAGCTGGCTATGAGATCTAATCTTCTGTGCTATGTGAGTTTGAAAACAAAGAAGTCACCTCTCTAGGTTTCCATTCATTTTAAAGGCATAGTAGAACATCCCTTATAATTATTTAACTTTATTACTAGGACTAATAATTAATAAAATGGTCTATCTAGTTATTAAGGTCCTTGGCTCAATCTAACACTAGCATCCCTTTGGGGTAGGAATCCAAGTAGTGTTATCATTATTGTTGTTGCTATCTTATCATTGAGATAATAAGATGACAGAGTGGATAAGACTATGACCCATCCTGGCTGTGTGACCCAAGCAAGTCCTTAACCTGATGGTGTTCCCAGGTAACACTCCTAGACTAAATTTTGCAATGGTAGTTTTCTTATTGTAAGTGCCCTATATGAGTGGAACCAGACAACCAATCCAAAAACAAATCTTCTTATTCACATCTATGAAGGTAAATGAGGTAGTCATTTCTTCATAGTGGAGTTCTGAGGAAGGAAGGGCCTCTTTGGGATAACATCCCAGGCCCAGGAGTGGGGAACTCTGGGCTCCTATGCCATATTCCACTGGCTGAAGAAGGGATTAGGCAGCTCAGCAACTTGGCAAGCATGCTGCTGGAGTTAATTATTGAATGTTTGCTAGTGGTGTTGATTTCCCAAACGATTTTCTCAAATGAGATATTTGTAAAGCACTTAGCACCATGCCTGGCACATAGTAGACACTTAAATAAATGCTTGTTCCATTCCATTGTTTTAGTCTCATGAGTGTGTGGCTTAAAGTGTTCAGAGATATATTTGTCTAGCTGCTGCTGCTGATTACTGACCCATCGAGAACAGGATGGTTTGCTTAGTAGGGATTTCTTCACCTGAGCTAAAAACAGTTGGGGGAGTGGGGAGAGATGAAGGGTGGTGCAGTATGAAGGTCAGTCTGGGACCCACAATCCAGCTGTAGAAATCTCTCCTTGATTTGCCTTCATTCTTAACGTTCATGGGGATATGATGAACAGGCCACATGGGAGAAGGACCTCTCTCTCAAATTCTCTGAAGTCCCACCTTCCCCATCGGGGGAATGGGTCGTGGAGGAGCTGCAATGTGTGAGGCAGGTGCAAACCAGCCTCTGGACCACATCGAAGAAGGAGCAAACTCTCCTGGATGTTGGCGCTTAGGACATAACCTTGGTTGTCCCATCCTGGTTCGGGTTCTGCTCTCAAAAACTAGAGACTGGATTTGCAGAAACCTTCATAGTGAAGCCCTCTGAAGATTTACACAGGGGAAGGATGTGTGCCTCCCCCCATACATTTTCACCCTCCTATTATCACAGTCACATAAACCATTAGCCTTGGAATAGTGACTAAGCCTTGAAATACTTTTGCCAGAGTTCCTGAAGCCTCTGCCCAGTGGCCTAACACCACACGCTTGCCCAGCCTGCTCTGGCCCCTTTCCTCTCTGTGTTCAACATGTGAGCCTTCCCCTGGTCTTGGGGAGAAACGGAAACGTACAGAATCTTCTCTGAACTGTCCCCCAAAATATAAGCCAGGCATCTGGTATAGCTCTGGTGGTGCAGAGTAACAGTATCCCTGATCCTTTGGGCTGGGGATTCTCAGGTGGACTCCCCTTCAGTTCCTCCTGTCACCCTGGGTCTCCTTTCATCCAAGAATTCCAGCCTGGAGAAACTACAGGAAGGGAGTGAGAAGGGCCTCAAAAGAACTTCATCATCTTTCCCTCCAGGGTCATTTTCCTCTAGCAAATAAGCAGGTTTAAAATATCTCTCCACCCACTGCCTAGGCCTCAGCAGGAAGTGGAGGTGATAGGCCCAGAGGTAAGGGAGGTATGTAAGGGGTGGAGTTACCAAGACAGTCCCATTTTCCCTAATAGGGAAGATGGTAGGAAACACCATGCTGAAGGTGGGCCCAGAATAGCTATAGCCCTGGCCTTAGCTAGCCAGAGGAAGGACAGAGTTCTCCTCAGAACTGGGAGGTTAAAAAATAAATAAATAAACTGCTGGTTTCCTGTTGCTCATTGTGAAATGTTCACAGGCCTGGAGGGTGGAGGCAATACGCCAGGAATGAGGTCCTGTCCTGGGAATGGAGAAGGGCAGGGAGGGGAAGAGAGGAAGAGAATAAGTACCAGAGAGAAGAGGACACCTTAGAATTCAAGACAAGGGTTCTATTCTACCCCAGCTCTGAAATTCCCAAGACCCAGCTTTGGGCAAAGATAGCCATGCTCAGGCACTCCCAGCCACGGAAGAGCAGGCAGCCTGGTTTGCAAAGCTGTTGGGAGATGGGGGTGGGGGGGAGCTCCATTGGAAGAAAGCACAGACATTAGCCACCTCCCTTTGCAGAATCCCTCTTTGGTAAAGGACTCAAACAAAGCTCCCCCATATTACCAAGAGCTGAGTGGGAGAGATCTATATCTCTCTCACAGGGATGTAGTGGTAAGGAGAATAGAATCACAGAGGAAGGAGGCAGATGGGGTGTACTGGAGTGGCTTTGGATTCAGAACG